AATCGGATTCCACCCTTTCTTGATAAAGGTGTCGATTTGTGTTAATTGAAAAATCTAGATCAGACTTGCATTGGAAATAAAATTGCAATTATTTTACCTCTGTTTGTGTTGGCGGTGGACTGTCTTCGAGTCCCACCCAAAAATCGAAAGGGTTTTTTTTTTATTATTATAAAGCGAGGGTTTTCTACTGGCTTCCGAAGTGAGGAGGTAATCGGGAATCTTTTAGATTTAATCGCTGTAACAAAAGTGTGCTACAAAATACACGCAGTGCTGTGGAAGCAACGGTAGTAGTTGAAGCCAGATAATCGAAACACGTGGGTTGGCTAGCTGTAAGAAGTGGAGTGTTTTGAGAGTTGCGTGATTAAGTGCGGATTGTCACGCGAATCGTTGTTCGCTGCTTGAACACCGGCTACCGGCTGTGTGCTGATCATTGATTGAATTTTTTAAGTTCAAAGTACAGCAGGGTTATTTTTTTTTAAACTCATCGATGAATACAATTTAGCAACTACCTACCTTTAGGTTTTCATCACTCCTCTTGTGCCGTAGAAAATAATCTGTTTTTTTTAGAGTTATCCAAAAATTATGGAAGGACATTTTTTGTCTCATGAAAAAAAACCAATGACCTTAGCTGGGATTGAACGCAGACACACTGGCGTGAGAAAGCAGTCACGCTTAGTACTACACCACCGGCGCCGTTAAAGGTGAACTCATGGTGGAGGATGAATTTTTGTATCATTGGTGAAAATTCACTATTAAGCTGGGTTTAGACAGGGCAAGTCAATGGATCAAGTCAGTTGAATTCAACTGACTTGAACGCGAATTGAACGTGTAACGTTTGCATGGACTATTTTTGGATGGTGAAAAAAAAACTAAGACAGATAATTTCTTTTGATAAATTTCCCATGGAAGGTATTTATTTAAGTTTACTTGCAAAAAATTCTACGCCCTTGCGAGCGGCCTTCCGGCAGTTAACCGGAACATTCGTCATGGCGGACGAAAACATGCGTGGTTTTGAGTTCTTTCTTCGTTTTATTTATCAATTCCTTCTCAGTTTTCGCGACAAAATTGTTGGAGTAGATCTTACGCTTCAGGTTGGCCCAGAAATTCTCGATGGGACGCAGCTGGGGGACGTTGGGCGGTTTCGCCGACTTGGGTACCACATCGATATTCAGCCGCTCCATCTCCTCCCAACGATCGCTTCGAGTAGTGGGCCGACGCCAGATCCGACCAGAACACCGCGTCTTCGTCCTTATGGTATTTCTTGATGAACGACGCAACTTCCGGCAGGCATTTCGTACTATAAATTTCCCCGTTCACGGCCAGTCCGGAGCGAAAGAAGAGCGGCTTTGACATCCCCTTCTCGCTGATTGTCAGCCACAGCAGCACCTTTTTTGGGGAACTTGGTGTGTGAAATGAACTTCACCTGGGAGCTCACTTCCTTCGTGGGGGAAGTAAAATACGAAGTGCCCTGCCAGTCGTTGCCATCCAGGGTGAGAAAGGTCTCGTCGTCCATCACCACCGCCACGTCGCGATTCGCAGGGAAAAACGAGTTGACAATCTTATTCAGCCGCTGCCGCTGCGTCATTGCCTGCAGCTCCGAAACCAGTGGACGTGACTTCCGCTTCCTGACATGTATGTTCATGTTCGCCAGGTACTTTTTCACTGTTTGGCCGGTTGCACCGACCTCCCGGCCAAGCGCACGCAGCGATGTAGACACTTTTCCCTCGGTCTTCCTCTTCAACTTCCTTTGGAGCTTCTTGTCGCTCAGGGTCGTTGGCCATCCGGAACCGGGCTTTCTTTCGATGTTCTGATTGTTGTCTAATAGTGTCAGGATGTTGTAGATTCCGGAACGGGCGTATCCGCGTCCACAAAGTGCCGCACGATGTCCGTTTTCGACGCGGCGGGGTGCCGTTCTTTGAACGCGCACACTTCTGAACGGAGTTGCTTCACTGTTTTTGCCATCCCGGTTAGAGTTCGACTGATAGAGCTGTCAAATTTTGTCTGCTGACTCATGGGTTACTATGATTGATGCTGCATGGGTAGTTTCGTCAGTGCGGGTAAACCCATGAAAAATCGACAATTTTTGTCCATTTTTTTTAAATGCAAACGTTAAACCATGCCATTAAACTGACTTGATCAACTCACTTGAATTGAAAAAAGTTGAACCAGGCTCAACTTTTCAAGCCAATAGAATTAAACTGAGTTGATCATTTGACTAGCCTAGTCTAAACCCAGCTTCAAGGTGTAAGTTAAAGCTTTTCAGTTGATACTGACTCCACATCCGTTTGTACCAATACCAACAAGCATTTGAAATTAGCAAAATAGGAAGTATTGAAATTTTGACCATATTCGTAAATACAATATTGTTGTATAGTTATCATAATTCTACTACTGAAATGACAACTTCAATTCCAAGATTCAATGTTCAGGAAAGGCCTGCCAATGTTCAGGAAAGTCCTTCCAAAGTTCAAGATAAGTTCTGCAATTTCAATGCTTGTATGTTGGTTTATGATGCAAGATGGTGGATTAAATATGGTACAAGTCTTTGATCAAATGTTCAATCTTTCTAAATATAATACTGTTCTATAGTTATAATAACTTCACTATTGAAATAGGAAATTTAAATTCCAAAACGATGGATGGTTTTCAAAATTTTGGATTAACGATGGTGGGTATTTGGGAAAATAGTCGATCTTCCAACATTAAAGTATAGCTATTATGATTCAAATATTGATATAACAAATACAATTTCAAGATATAGGATGAACTTCAGAATGGTGGATACAAAATGACGGGTAATTAAAATAATGGTAACGGCGCCGGTGGTGTAGTGGTAAGCGTGATTACCTCTCACCCCAGCAGGCCTGGGTTCAATCCCAGTCGGCGCCGCCGGGATGTTCTGAGGCATAACATCTCTGATCACGCCTTCCTTCGGATGGGAAGTAAAGCCGTTGGTCCCCGGTTCATGAGTTGATGGGTCGATAGGTAGGGTCCAGGTGTGGGAGCTGCCTTCCTGGCACGTCGGTAGCATTGGTGCTCAGCACGGAAAACAAGATCGACGGAAAAAACAAACCAAAGGAAAAAAAAAAAATTAAATAATGGTGGATCCAAGAAGGCGGATGAGTTTCAAAATAGTAGTTTCAAGATGTCGGGTCTTTTATGAAAAAGTCAATCATCAAAAGTGTAATATGTATCGTTGTATAATTTTGATAGTTCCACTATTAAAATGGCAATTTCAATTTGAAGATGTCTGTTTATTTTCACATTGGGTGAGCAAAGATGGCGGAATATTTTTAAAATGGTAGATCACCGACGGACATCGATTGCCATCCATTAACGGCAATCGAATGTGCAGGAAGGCAGCTTCCACACCTGCGTAGGACATCGCACCCATTCAACATACATGGGCCGGGACCAACGGCTTTACTTCCCTTCCGAAGGAAGACGTGACCAGAGATTTGTATGCCTCAGAAAAACCCCACCGACCTAAGCTGGGATTGAACCCAGGCTCATTGGGGTGAGAATGCAGTCACGTTTACCACTACACCAACGGCGCCAGCGACTTACACGTTAACGCATCCATTATATAATTTTCAGTTTGTGTATCAATCTACAAAATCAACTAAAATCGAAAAATCACTTTCAGTTAAAAAAATCGCAATGGTCCATTCTTGGATAATGAAAGAGCGTTTGACAACACATCCTATTCTTCTATGGTTGCCGCCATGAAGAAAAAGAACATCGATACGCACATCGTCAACTGGATTCATACTATGCTTGCAAAAATAAAAATCACTTCTGGGCTGGGAAGCTCATCTATAACAATAAAGACAACGCAAGGTTGTCCTCAAGGAGGAGTCCTCTCACCACTAATGTGGTCTTTAGTTGTAGATGCAATAGGTTTCGAAGTTGTGTGCTTTGCGGATGATATTGTTATCCGCGCTATCATTTCAAAAAGAATGCAACAGGCTCTAAAGTTTACCCAATCTTGGTGTATTAAGGAGAGCCTAAACATTAATCCGTCAAAATTAGTAATCGTTCCTTTTACCAGAAAGAGGAACTTCATGCTTGGAGGAGAACAGATCCATCTTAGTGAACAGGTCAAATACCTTGGATGCCAAGATGAATTGGAATACTCAGATTGGTGCTGTGATCAATAAAGCAACCAGTGCCCTGTGTTGGTGCTCAAAAACTGTTGGTAGAACATGTAGTTTGAAACCAACAATGACACATCAGTAATTCGTCCAAAAGTAACTTACGCTTCGTTAGAGTGGTTGCCAAAAGTGAAAGAGGCTGGCAAAGCTACAACATCTTGCATGTATTGCTATAACGAGTGCGATGTGCAGCATCCCATCAAATATGCAATCCTCAATCTACTGCCCTTGCATGAATACGTGCAACTAGAAGCGGAAAGAAGTGCTCTAAGGCTCAAAAGGTCTAAACAAGTCATGCCAGGTGATCTGGTTGATCACCTAAGCATTTTACAATACTTCCAACGAGAATCAGTGATGAGTATAAATGGAGACTGGAGACGTTGCGTTTGGATTGGGAAGTCGGCGTTCGTCAAGGCTCAATCATATTTTTCACAGATGGCTCTAAAATTGGAGCACAAACAGGTGCAGGAATCTTTGGGCCAGTGGGAAACATTTTAGTGGCGATGAGACATTGTCCAATTTCAAGCGGAAATCGTTACCATACTTGAATGTGTAAGTGTTTGGCTAAGGAGAAAATATAGATGTGCAAATATCTGTATTTTTTCTGACAGTCAAGCAGCATGTGTTATGTGTTGTTGGTGTGACTGGGTTACATATCTCGCTCAAAGTGAATAAGTAAAGTACAGGAACCAAAACGGTAACAACGGTTAAATCACAATTTAACTTTGAATTTTATGCTACAATATAGAAAAAAAAAACTACATTGGACGTTTTGACTAGTCAAGTTGTACATTGGACATGTAACGTTGGACGATTTTTCTTAATGACTGTTACGGTTTGCAGTTCTTACGTAGCGATTGGTAGGTCTGGACTGGGACGCCAGAGAATGAGTTGGTATCGGCGGAACAGATGATGCAGCAGGATTTGCCGATACATTTTCTCCACATCGGCCACGAATGCGATTTGGTGGATGCGGAATCTGATGTGGATCGACAGTAGGTCTTCCTGAACGACGGGTCCAACGAGTTGCAGGTCGTTCACGGAGAATCCAGATGACGTCTTGCACGACGCATCGAACACAACTCGAATTTTCGTGGTGGTGCTGGATTCTTTGAACACCGGATGGTGTGGGAGGTAGCAGTGCGGTTGGCTTTCGTCTACTGGATCCAGGAGCTTCACCATGTGATTCAGGCGTTCGTATTCTTCCATGAAGCGACAGTAGGCCTCTTTGGTGGTTGGATCTCGCTCAAGTCGTTTTCCGAGGTTTAGGAAACGGCGCTCGGCGATTGAACGTAATTCACCGAGAGTGACGAGCGGATCGCGGGTGAGTGGCAAGGAAACGATATAACGACCCGACGAATCGCGAGTGGTGGTAGTGGTATACAGTTCTTCACAGAGATTTTCTTCTGCTGTAAACTTGGAACAGGATTCAACTGTTTCTAACTCCCAGAACTTCTGGAGGGCTTGTTCCAGATTACGGTCCACAGTGGTGAGGTGACAAACACGGGGAACTTCAGGTGATTTGATGGATACCTTTCCCGAAACAGTCCAACCGAAAGAGGTTTCGACGAATACAGGCTGCCCTTCACCGAAAGAAATGTTACTGTGTGAAAGCTGGATCAGCTAACGGGACATCAGGAAATTTCCACGAGGAAATATCAATCGGCATGGTTGGCAGGCAGACTGCGGGTTTCTTGAGGATGAGAAACTCGAGCGTAGTACTGAACGAAAGCAGCTTGGATCTAATTGTAGCAGTCAACTTGCGCTTGATCTGCTTCGACGTTTCACCGATTCCAGACACGGCGATGTCTACTTTCGTACGACGGAGGTTGAGTATGTTCGCAATCTTCTTCGTGATGAAGCTGCTCATCGATCCTGAATCTAGGAGTGCACGAGCGGAATGCTCTTTGCCATTCTGGTCTACAACTAGGAGGTTGACCGTTTCCAACAGAACCGTGGATTGGCACGACTGTACCGACAAGCTCACTTGGGGGTTCGGATTCACTGATCCGGGGGTTTCGACGGCAATCATCGTGGATGGATTCGGTTGTTGGGACGGCTGACCAGATATAGTTACTGGACTGGATTGTATCTTCGTGGTTGAAGTTTCGTGCAGCAAGGTATGGTGTTTCTGGTGACAGTTTCGGCATTCGTACTTGGATGTACAATTCCTACTTTGGTGTCCAGAGCGGAAGCAATTCCAGCATAGGCGCTTCTGGGATACCAGCTTTCGTCGCTGGCGAACGGACATCTTGGAAAATGCTGGACATTGGAATAGGAAGTGGTTCTCTGGACAGGCGATACAGTACGGAGCGGAGTTCTTGCATTCGGTCGTGGCGGAATTGGATTCCATCTTAAATGGCTTCTTCTGGATCGGATTGGAACCGGCCACCTTGGCTTGGCCGGGTTGATTGGAACGATGCTGCAGATCGGTGACGACGGACTTCAACATTCGAACCCTTTGGTACAGGAAATCAACTAACTGCTCGTAGGTGACATCATCACTGCTACTGGTCTTCTCCTCCCAGGCTCGGAGGGTCGTAGGATCCAGTTTGTAGCATAACAGGTTGATCAACGGGGTGTCCCAGTGGACTACAGGTTCGTTCAGCTTCGCTAAGGCCTTGACATGCCGTTGGTAGTCATCAACCAGGTCGTGCAGCTCTTGGGGTGACTCTTTCTTCAGTGGCGGAAGGTCATACAGGGCTCCGAACAGTTGACGCTTCAGATACCGCTTTTTATCGTAGCGTTTCAGTAGAGCGTCCCAAGTTAACGCATAATTATCCGCGACTATGTCGATCGACTCGAATGGCTTGTGAGCTTCTCCTTCCAGGGACTGCAGAAGGTACTGCAGCTTCGCGACAGTCGGAATGTCCGCGTTGGAATGGACCATGGAGGTGAAAGTATCCCGGAAAGAAAGCCATCTGGAAAAGTCTTCATCGAACTTAGGGAGATCGACCTTGGGCAACCGTAGGTGGAAACTGGATGAAACTGGGTGATGATTGGCCATTATTGAAGTATTCAACACTGTCTGCTTGGGATCTGTCGAACGCTTCATCAACAGAAATCCTTTGGCCGTGCAGAATCTCGCTTCGAACGCTGCTCGCTCTTGCAGATGCTCCTCAAACTTCTCAGCGTCATCGTACTTTTCAATCTCCGCTTGCAGCTCCTGGAACTCACTGTAGACACGGTCCAACGCCTCAAGACGGATCGGAATCTGGTACACATCGTTCTCGTTGTCGTACTTCTTGATGAACGCCTCAACGGAATCATGAACGACGAGTAGTGCCTTCCGCTTCATCAAGCATTCGGCCAACTTCTTCTCTGGTCTGGACATCCTGATTCACTGTACAATCACCACTTCACTACCACCACAGTTCGGAAAACGCGGAAACGGAATCGGAAAATCGGTACGTAAATCGGGTAAAGGACTCCTTCCCGGCGCGTCGTACCGTCTTCTACACGACGCGAAATCGGAAAATGACACAAATCGTACGTGTTAATCCTTCCCGTCGCAGTGTGCCACTTTCTACACGGACGAAATACCCGAGGATGGTACGCAAATCGAACGTAAAACCTCCTTCCCGACACGGGCGTACCACCCACGCGACTCAACTTGCCACCCACCACCACCAAATACACACATGCAAAATGAAAAATCAAATCAATTTGCGGTTCTAGGATTTCCAATCCATTTAATTTTCCTTTAAATCTCTTCAGTCGAGCACACCGTTGCTTCGCCAAAGCAAACGGGTCGAAAAAACTGCCTACTGTGTGGAGGCTCTTGTTCAATTTGCGCTATTCAAATAAGCTTGGCTTTGGTCAGCCGTACAAAGCTATTGACCTCAACTACAGGTCGAACAATTGCCAGCGCATGGAAGAAACGAAAAGGGTGTACTCACCGCACCTGCCCTTTTGGTCGGGGGAACCTTCGATCCGGTTCGAAGGACCAAATGATGGGGCTTACCCGTTCCTTTTGGAAGGATTTTCCACCGTCGTGAAATATCGACGGCCCAGAAGATTCTGTTGCGATGATTCACTGATTCTTCCACCTTGCTCGGACACTTTGTTACACAAATTGCTCCTGATGCACGTTTTGCACTGTGCACACTACGCGCGATTCGGGGCTGCAGATCGCGCAAGACGCAGCCGAGATGTATCCAGCCGCAGCAGCGGTAGCCCAGAAGGATTTCTATGTGGATGATTTCCTGTCTGGTGCCGACGATGTTGAATCCGCTATCCACCTACGCCAAGAAATGTCCGCCATGCTTTCAGCGGCAGGCTTTCCGCTGAAGAAGTGGGCTTCAAACTCGCCTGAAGTTCTAGCCGATATTCCCGAAGATGATCTAGCCTTCCCGCCGTACCATGACCTTCAAGACGATCAATCCGCTTCCACTCTCAGACTCATCTGGGAACCGAGATCCGACATGATGAGCTTCAAGATTCAACTGCCATTACCAGCACCCGTTTTGACTATACGGAAAGTTATGTCCTACGTTGCACAGATTTTCGACCCACTTGGCCTGGTGGGACCAATAATAGTCATCGCTAAGCTCCAAGCTAAGTATCCAAGACACGACCGTAGATTTGACGTAGGATTACGAAAGGTAGTTATGATGTCACAGCAAAAGTATAGTTAATATTATATTCGGGCCCATACATAAATTCAGCAGTCGACTAAATTTTCAATGGTGACCGAAAATATCCATTAGTACCGTCCCAATGACGAGTTCATCTAGATAAAATTGAAAATAGCAGATTTTTTGCGATGGGCCCAATCTTTGATCCATAAGCCAACATTAGAGCCATTTCCCTTTTTGGGGAAAACACATCAAGCGCAGAATATGAGCCTAACGGACGGTACCTACGTTTATACTTTTTGATGCAAATTTAAGCCCTTTCTATTAAGAGAATTCGACTATTTTTTTTGCATAATGCTCTTAATAGGAGGGGCTTGAAATATGCACCAAAAAGACATAAATATCGATACGGTCTGGCATGCACAGTGCTTGATATCAATATTCCGCGACTGTGTTAGGGAAATCACTTTTCCCATAACGGAAACACCTCGACAAAATTATGCATTTACGTGCACAAAACGCAAGGAATTTTTGTTTCATTCAATAGATAATAAAAAAAAACGAACATTGATTGGAGGAATTTCTTGCTCAAATTTTTCCAATCGCGTTCAATCATATAAATTCGAGATTTTTTCGCTTTTCCTAGCGTCCTGGAGAAAACCTTACGAACTGTCTCTGGTTAATTGACATGGTCATGTGGTATTCGGTCATTGCGAGAATTTGTATGTACCACTTCAATACTGTTACCAGTCTTGTAAGCGGTCACGGTAGTCGACACATTTTCTGTGATAATCGACTGCTTTTGCCTCCGACACTTGGAAAACAAGCTATCATAGTACAGTACCAAACTCAAATGTCATACGACAGGCTCTGTCATATGACACTGTCGCCGAGGACCGTCACGGATGTATGTATTTTAGTTTTTCTCATAATAAGAGCTGCTGATGTTGTGCTTGTGTGAATTCTGAAAATAGCAAGCAATGATGTCCTAGGAATAACATATCTGATCAGACATGGTTTAATTTACACCAAATTGAGGAATTAGAACGAAATTACTCATGTCATATGATAGTTATTTGATAATTTTCTTTTCTCTCGAATGTTATTCTACCGGTTGTGTTGTGTGAGAGAGACGACGGTAGAGCATGAGTGTAGGAATAAAAACAGACTGTCGCGCACGACAACGAAGCGAGTGTAGTAAAAAACGTCAACAGTTTCAACCCCTGACTGTTACTCATTTGACGACAACCGTTTGGTTGCTGGGTACATTATCAAAGAGCTTTGGGGGTGATGTGGCTGGCAGAAAGGCGAGCGTCAATAAAAATGAACTCTAAAACAACAATAATTTATGGTGATCCTACAAAGGACCGTCTTGTCGTAATGGTGGAGTAATGCTTAGCTATTTGGGTGTTCAGCACATATGATGCTAGCGAGATGTATGTTGTTTGGACCGAGGGTGACGCGCTTGGCATAGATGACCCACATATTGCACCAATACCTTCAGACGTACAATTGCAAAACTTTAGACCAGGTTGAGCCTTGATAGCTAGCTGCTTGTGGGAACTGACATCCGATTGATGACCTTTACAAATAATGTCCAAAACATACTCTTTAACTTGTTTATTGTGGTCCTGAAAAGGACCATTTTGTCGTGATGGTTCAGTAATGCTGAGCAATTAGGGTGTTTAACGCGAATGAGGCTGGTGAGCTGTATGTTGTTTGAAGCAAGGGTGACGCGCTTGGCATAGATGACCCACAGCGACTCACCAAGAAACTGATTTCGATCCGTGCGGCTTCTTCCTCCTTCTATGGATGCTCATGTGGGCTGCTCGCTGCTTGCAGACTGCCTTTCGTTATGTACTGGAGAACAATGTTCAACGCCACACGCTGGAAGCACTGCTGCTGCTGACACCGACAACCGGATGCCACCACACACGGTGATTAAATGAGCACCGTTCAGTGAGACAGGATCGAATTCGATTTTTAAATCTGTGTTAGGGAATGCGCTGTTTGCAGGCAAATAATGTTGATCACCATTGCAACAGTTGGACATTTGTTTATTTTTCAATGGTGACCTATTGAAAATTAATAAAGTGTTCATTTCAGCAGATTGGTAGATAGATTTTCAATCGATTGGCTTGTTTAGAATCAAAATCCAAATGCTATTGACATAGTTATATGTGGTCAAAACCTGACCTCTTTTCGTAATGCGGTCGATTTTGGTTTTTTTGAAATTGCACCCCCATTATGTAGCCGAAAGACGTAATCTTACGTCAAAAGATGCTCCTTTACCTATTCTAAAGACTCATGAAAGGTCAGTCATGTTTTGATCAGACTTCAGCAAAGACACGCTGCAGTGGTATGAAACTTAAATTAAAGTTATTATTAAAATATGAACCCCTCAAATTCCTATATCAAGCATTACCGAGGAATTAATAGTCTGCTAGAATTTTATTTTCACAGTTGGCATCCCCTTCCAAGGTAGTCAAGCATTTTTCCAGTAATACTGCGTTCATTTCTTAGACATTCTCCCAATGAAAAAAAAAAAAGTGTTCGACAAATGTCAAACCACTGCTCAAAGAATCGTGTATCAACTTGATGAAACCCAATTCAGAAGTATGGCATCGAGGAATAGATCGTTATTTCGAAACTAATTAAACAAACTATTTGCATTTGCATGATCACTTTCTGATTCTGATATATAGTGACATTAATAGAAATCTTACCAATTCAAAGTTTCATATTTTTTAAATAAATTCACAACCAAGATAATATTTCAATTATGCAAAAAGTGCCTTATAAACCTTCCCTAAACTATTCCATTATTCTTCGTAAAACTGTCAATTAAATTCACGCCGACGCTCGTTATGGGTAACGTGTAGGTTTATATATCGGTACATGTTTCAGTTACATATATCTTTATCTCTAATAATAACAAATAAATCAGCATGCTCGCTTGCGGTCCCTATAGGCAAGGAACGGCGAGTCCGATATGTAGCGCAGAGAAGTCTCCACACTCTATAATAGGAGAGGTCCGAATCAAACCTAACGTGTAAATGCCCAGTGCATTGGAAATCCGATTCACCCGACAGATACATATATCCATTTATCCGCCAATAATGATGGCGGGGGGCTCTGCTGTATGTGTGCGGCTGCCATTTTTCGCTGTTCGAACAACAATTTACCTGAGCCCGGTCGAGCACCACACAGAGTCAATTTCATGCACGGGACTGCTGCTCTGGCGGATAGCGAAAAAAATACCCCAGGGGAAAAAAGTGCCAGATCATAAATTATTCGTTATTAAATTAACGCCTCTAAGCGTTATGATTCAAACAATTGAATCATATATTTGCTAAACGATTATACGATCTCACACACCCATGGGCCCGGGTCGCTCTTCACTCTTTGTGGGTCCTTCTTCGCGTATGCTGTTCTTGTTATTGCAAAGAACTAAGGACGAGGGGGTAGCAAGCAGCATATAAACATATGTTTACTTAAAAGCGTACTCTTTTCGATAGTTGGATGCTCTTTTGTCTATATCGCCTTGATTGCTCTTCAACTCTCTCACGTGGTCTCGGCCTACTCGATTGTCTTTCTTCGTTTCGCTTCGCGAACATGGATGGATGAAAATGTGTTCCATGCACGGCTTTTGTTGCTGTGGTTACTGTGGGAAGGGCGTAGCACGATCGTGTACGATAATGGCTGACAACAACATGGAATTTAACATATCTGAATTGATCTCGGTCGGTGCGAATCCGAAGTTTGGAACATTTAGTTGACCAAAGTATGTATTTAACTTTAGAGATTTTCGCAATCTATTTTGGATAAGTCAAACAACCTTGGCAGTCGACTGTCTACAATGTTTAATTTATCCTTCTTTATGGAATTTTTAATTTACACTATACGAAGTCATCGCACGACTTTGTGTTTAACGGCACTGCTGCACGGGGAACTAGTAATTACATCGGCATCGGCTTACTCACCATCCGAAGGCAACAATAGCGCAAAAAAAAAACGTACCTTTACTGCAATATTTTCGCTTCGTTTTACTTCATAAATTTTTCGACGTGTTTTTTTGTTCCACTATGTTTTGTATAGTTGGCTTCTCTAGCCTAACGTTGAGGAATTTTTAGTCCAACTCAGGCCTGCTAGCTCCATTCTGCGTTCCGTTCACGCGCTCTCCGCTCTTAGGAGGAAAGTTATGCGCTCTTATTCATTATTGCCGCTTATTGCTGGTTGTTTTATTTTTGTTTTTGCTCTCCCGGTTCAGTTGTTTCCCGCCGATAATTAATGGCGGCTATCTGCAAAGACACGTAATAAATATTTATGCAAACAATCGCAATGTGCATGTACGTTTAATTAAGCGAATAATTCATCTTTCTGCCTCAGCTACACGGGTTTGATCTCGTCGCGTTGTCGCCGTTGCAACTTTCATTGAGATAGGTGTTCTTGTTTGGAAGAGTTTCGTTACCGGTTGTTTTTAAAATTAGTGGAAATTCTGAAAACGGAAATCAATCAAATGAAACGTTTGTACAGGCCCATACCCTCAAGTTTGACGTGCCAACCTGTTTGCTTGCTAGTTCATCATTCCGAACTGCCAATGTTGACGACCAAGAATCCCAAGGAACTGATATTAGCGTGAATGCAGTCTACTTAACGTAAAGGTTAAGCAGTTGTGTATTCAATAAATATATTCGGAGTGGGATGATCACTCAACTGGGTACAGAATCGTACCCTGGTTCTGGTTCTGAAACATGCCTGGTCCAATTTGTCAAATCTAATAATCAAATTTAATTTTAATTTTTCAAAGCTTCAGAACCTGGATATTTGTTTGGGTTACAGAATCATCGTATTTATACGATGGTCACTAAATCTATCCTTACCCGAGCAACAACCGATAACTAACCGATAACATATCTTAATTTTGTATGATAGCTTATTGTGGTATGCTTGTGGTATAAAATTTTGTGTTGATATTGTTAGAGAAACTTGGATACACATGGTCTGACCGCTTGGATACGCCGTTTTTCCTTCAACTGTCGACTAAGAAATCAGTTGCA